AAAACACAAATTTCGGTCTCAGATTATGTTTAAATGACCTATGATCACTCACGCATTAGTTTCTATGAGATTGAAAATGTTTTTAATTGAATTTAATTGTTTAAATGACCCATGATCACTCTCGCATTAGTTTCTATGAGTATTTTTTATTTTGTACATTTCTATGATTATTTGAATGTGTATAATTAAGTTTCCTCGACAAGTGGTCATGAACTCAATAGAGTTTTAACTTCCACTGTTTTTCAACCAAATCACGCGTGAACGATCCACGTAGCATGGGAAAAAATTTCATTGTAGGGCTTGACTTTTTGTTATTGTGTCACGATAAGGCCTAAATTTTTAACTTTTTTCATTTGAATGTTTCAATTTTAAGTTATTCTCAATATAAGACCTACTTTTACATTCTACTTTTCAATTTAAGACTTCATATCAATTTGTATTTTGATAAAATTATGTAAACAACAATAAATTTAAAAATTTATCTTTTAAGTACTTATAATTAAAATATTAATATCTTTAGTAAAATTATCTAATAATTTAATTATTTCATAATTTACATTTATGCAAAAACTTAATGAAATTTATTTTAAAAGTTAAAAATAAATATTAACTTAATTTTAGTCTAGATATGTGATAACATTGAAATGTAAACTATTTAGAAATGTAATTTTATTTCTTGTAGATAAACTTATAGAAAATATTATTTGTGAATAAAACTACGTACAATAAAATTTTTCGGGTATTAATTTTACATATTCTTAACTTTTTAAAAAATATAAATTTTATTCACAAAAAATATTTTTTGAAATTTTTATTTAAAAACATAAATTTATTTTTCTAAAATATTTCATATTTAATGTTATCACATATTTAGATTAAAATGAAATTAAAATTTATTTTTTATCTTTTAAAATAAATATTTAAAATTTTAACTATTTAACTTTCAAAAAGTTTAACTTTTCAACTTTCAACAAATATATACTTAAAATTTTAGTCCTTGGCGCACGAGATTTCACAATAAATAATATAATCTCGCCTTAACGACCATCTATATGAAATTATATTCTATTTAGTGTTTTAAAATGTGCATAGCGTAATTCGTCGCGTTTTGCCCTCTTATACTACGCAGCGTAAGTAGAAATTCATGTTGCGAAAGCTATTAGAGTATAAAATTTTGTTTGTTATAAATATCATATATTTGCATATAATAAAACTGGGTTGTTAATTTATAAAAATATTTTAGTAATATTATATGTCACTAAATTTTAGCATAAAATAATGTTGAGATTAATAATATGAGGGCAGTTTTATTTTGGAATGAAATGTCCAAATTTAAATGATATGAACTTCATTTAGTATGGATAGAATTGTATTTAATTTTTAAAATAAAATAAGTGGTATGAATTTTATATGGTATGGGGTGAAAGTCAAATTTTAGGTTGATTTGTTATAAAATCAAGGTGATATAATTCTCAATTTTTAGCATATATATATCTATATAATGGACCAATCCTTATTGCTATAATTGTCATGATTTTGGGTGGGAATTTTTTTATCTATATTTGACATTTGATTAATATTTATTTATTAGCAAATCTTATGTATGAAAAACATAATTAATTTTTATACACTCAATAATTGTTACTCATTAACTACAAATTGGTTTAACTTGAAACATTGACCGTAGATTTATTAGATATATTTTCAATAAGATCTTATATTAATTTAATAGCAATTTATTGATACAATTCAAAAAGTTATTATGGAAATTGATTTGATTAAATATATTATCATCTATGGTTGTAGGTATTAAACTAATTAATTTTATTCACTATTTATATGTACTTAAAATACTTAATAAAATAATAAAATAATGAGAATAACTATATTTAAATCATAATAACTTAATAAATAATTTAAATATTAATAAAAATTTCTAAAATGTAGTCAATTTAACTATAAAAAATTACATCCTATTGAATATATCATACAATACTATTGAAATTCAAATTATATATTAATAAAAATAAAATTTGATGGTTGGTGCAATTCATAATTATAAGTTTCACCTTAGAAGTATCTATGCACATTAAAAAACTATTCAGTTTTAAAAAAAAAAATGTTTTTTTTACTATATTCTATTTTATAAAGAAAAAATTAGTTAATAAAAAAGCAATGTATAATAATATAAAGTATAGCAATTGGTAATTATGGAAATATATAATATATCTAAATATTTGAATAGATAATATATAACTCATTATATAGGTTAAAAAAATGAATTAAAGAAATAAATATAAATAAAAATGAAACATAAAAATAAAATATTTAACCATAAGAATTTATGTGTTGCATAAGGATTAAAGTTACTAAAAATTAAAACTTATTTATCAAAGTTTTGAACATTTAATTCACTTAATAATTATAGCAGAAGATAAATATTACAGGTTAAACGTTGGTCAGTTATCAAACAATATGTGTAAATTATGAATTATTTAGAAAAAATATAAGACTAATGATAAACGGTAAATTTATAAGTACAAACAAGTAATTTGTATACAAATATCATATTATTTTTTACATTTATGATATTTTATAAACTAATAAATAATACAATTTATATATTAATTAGTCAAAAACAACAAAAAAGAATATATAAAATATAAATTTAAAAAAATAGTAAATAAATAAATGTCATATTATTACTTAATAGGATATTATGGAGAATAGAATTTCATACTGTCTTAAATAATTTTATAGTATTTAAGTAAAAAATATTTCCTTCTATTGCACCCCGTGCATCGCACGGGTATCAACACTAGTTCATATAATAACTTGTCATAAGATAATTTATACACTATTTTAGGCATATTCCTACATACATGTTTTGTTTTAGGCTTGAGAATTACCATAAAGTATTTTAGTTTTTTTT